GAAGAAATAAGCAGCACAAATTGGCAGATAATGCACCTTATTTCCATGTAGAAGCAGGTGCATTTTCCTTGGGATAAGTGGCGCCATGACACTGATCTGCTCTGACAGGCCAGCTGATCTAAAATTACTCAGCACACATTGCCACTGGCTGGGGAAGCTTCTCCCAAGAGCTTATTCCAAACTCCTCAATCCCCTGGGCGCTAATTAAAATTTACTGGATAATATTTGCAAAGCTCAATGGCCCTAGTTACAGCAATTATCAGTTACTAAATGTTAGTGCTGGAGATGTCACCCGATGATTGACATTTTTATTCCAGAGGATTTCCCCTCTCCCTTCCCTCCACTAACTCATTCCCTGCCCTTCTTTGAAACATGGAATGAGCTGAAAGGGCTTGATTGGCTTTAGAAGGAGAATAAAACCATCACCTACCCTTGTCATCATTCCTTTTCTCATTGGACCAATAGTCGCGGAGGGAAAGGGATTTTAAATATGGGCACTTCCTTTCACTCTCGGAGCCCAAGACTAAAGTGAAGATACACCTGTGGGCCATGAGCAAGTGCAAAGGGTAGACTAGGATCGCCTAGGTGATGACATCAACTTTCAGCAGGTAAAAAGAGGGTTGGCAAGATTTGCCAATCTCCTAGTGTTATTATAAATGATAGCCCTTGAAATGGGAAGCTGTATTTCTGAAGAAAAGTAGATCTAATCAATTTATGGTGCCAGCTACCATGCCTGCACTGGGCAAAGGGCTTAACTACCATGTGCTATGATTTGCATCTAGCTTCCAGAGACTCACACGAGGAGTTAATTGTTCCAGTGACATACAGGTTTATATGCTGTGTTTAATTGAGCTCGTAATGCACTTTTTGCTCTTCGTTAAGCAGATAATCTAGCCATAAGAAGGTGGCTAGCTATATGAAGGTACAGATTATGTTTATATAGATGGTCTCAACATTTATGATCCAATTTTTTAAACTTGTAATTGATCCAAAAGCAGTAAAATTGAGCCTCATTAGCTCTGGCAGGTAGTCTTTGCCCTTTGCTCATAAATCAGTGAAAAGTTGGGTTTTTTGTGTTTTTTTAAGACAATGCTCTCAATGATTTGTTATATTGTTTATTGGGTTGGTTGGTTTTGGAAGAGGAAGACCACTAAAATTTGCACAATAACTAAGACGACAGGCATTCTATTTAGACTTTAAAACAAGGGACCTATGTTTCTATGTCCAAGTATAATTTGGGCTCCTACTTTTGCTTTTCAAATCATTCTCTTTTCAAAAGTGTGGGGGAAAACATTGCCAAGATTGTGATAAGATAAGTCACATTGACATGAAGCAGTAGAAGAAAGGACAGACTTGGTAACAGAAAGCCCACCGCTGATGTCAAAACTTCCCCTTTTCAACGTCTCCATCAAGGTCTTTCACACTCTGGCTTTCTTTTCTTTTGTGGGTCAAGTTAAACAATGCACATAAACGAGTTTCAAAAATGTGAAGTGTTGTCCAAAGGGAGAGAGGGACGGGCGGGGGGGACTTTATTTCAATTGAGAGAGGTGAGAAGTCAGTGAGAAATTGTTAAGTCTTCATAACCATTGGTGAAACTCATTGAGAAGAAGTGAAGTATCACAGAGCTAAAAAGGCAAACTGGTAACAAGCTGTGCGGAAAGATGGTCATCGGTGTTTTCCATTATTCTGTTCCTAATTTTGTAAGGTTTTCTTCAGAATGAATTATATTAACAATAACGTATAACAGCAGTTAATTTTCTGGACTATCCCATTTCTTTCAAGTTACACCTTCAACAAACACCTCCTTAAGTCCCCCATATATCCTCTGTAAAATTTCAAAGAACTCCAATATATCTGTTGTGGTTTTGTGTCCATAAATCAACTGTAATTCATATGATCCCATGGGACAGTGAAGGACTGCCCCAAAGGGTCTTCTAGCTTGTGAACTTCATCGAAGCAGCTCACCAGGTCTCTCTCCTTTGAAATCACTGGGTGGGTTCAAACCACCAACCTTTTGGTTAGCAGTTAAATGCTTGACCATAGCTCCTTCCAAC